CAGTGACCGATCTCATGACATATTATTCGAAATTCTGGAATGCGTTTCCGGAGGGGAAGTATTACTTTATTGCGGTTTTTACGTTGATTATGTTCCAGAATAATCCCAGGATTTTACAGGCAGCAACCACTTTAATGATAGATTTGCGAACATCTCTTAGTAACTTCTCGCTCAGATGAGTCCGAGTGGTGACAGTTTGAGTTTTTACTAATTTGCGTACTTTCACATTCCTCTTTTCTAACGATTTACTGTGGACTTCACATGAAATAAGAGGCAGGGACATGGACTGTTCTACCAAAAATATCCTTCCGTTTTGCACCGCTGTTTGAGAGGATGAATTCGAGGTATGTTTGTATGCCAGGTCTAGGTTCAGACCATGGCATATTTATAACGGAATATTTGTGTAATAGCATAGCCCAGATACATTTAACACATCCAAATACACTTGCTGGTCTTTAAATGAACAAAAATTCACATACTGAAAGTCCGTCCCGAAATAGAAGGCTAAATTAAACCGTCCATTTCAGAGACCACTAATGCATTTAGAAGGTAAGCAAACGCACGTAGTCTCTAAAATTAGCACTTACTTGATGCAGCCGTAACCGTGGCTCCCTCCAGAGTTGACTGCATGAGACAGCCCATTCGACGCATCCCCTTCCTCTCAGTGTTCTAAACCTAACTCATAAGACGAATGAATAGACTCGCATTGTCTGGAGGCTAGAACGCTGGCTGTACTAAGGCCGTTCCCTTTCTGTATTGGGTTCGAATTCCACCGGAATAGCGAGTTTTCACAGTTGGGTCAAAATGAATCTAGGTTTAAGTTGATTACCTCTTTCGTATCTCCAGGTAAACAACGACGTCGGATAGTGAAGACCTGAAAGCCCCATCGTTTCGTGAAGCGGTATCGGCATCTGCTGTTCATTGTTTAACTACCTCACTGGGATATTTAAAGCTGCCTAATTCTTCATACTGACAGTAATCGATCCCGAGAGGCGTCTTTTTCTGGAGGACCGACCAATTTAACGACTTCAGCCATCCGTTACGCCAAAGCTTGAGACTAGAACAGCGACATGGTCAGTATTGTTGCGATCAGTAATCCGGCGATTGGGTATAAATGCAACACTGTCATAATTGTGCAGTGTGCTTCCGGTAGTCCCGTCAATAGCGTAGTTGATCAGCACGAAGCATAAGATACAGCGTCGTCAAACGATAGACCAAACCTCGTGGATGTGTACTGGACATCGGCATGTCATGTAGACTATTAACCCGTCACAGAGACTATGGAGCTCTGGGGCAAAGTAAACAAAGGAGACGGCCGTCGGTTGTTACTAGTGATTCTGGAGATCTAAAATGTGCCACGGTGGGAATATTTGATTCGCCCATCCACACCCAACGCGAGTCAAGCAACCTTATAATCGGCTTAGACTAAAAGCACAGGAAGTCTTCGCATCAACGTCGATTGGACTCATGCCGTGGTAGTTTTCGCTACTCGCCCAATCACTGACTAGAGCCAGAACGCTGAAGTGTCAGCACACGACTTGTCGACTTCAATGAGGAAACCGTCCTCGCCAAAAGTCTTGTTGTTGTCTTGCGGCCTACGTATATGATGGAAGATGTCTTCCTGAGGGACATGAAGGGCTTTCAAAGACGACACTGCATAGCCTGGAGAGGAGGATGAAACTATGCTCCAGAGCAGATTGGCTGCTCAAAATGCCCATCCCAGCGCTCACCCCTTTTGCCGATTTGCCCACAATAAATCCGCCACCCATATTGCGAACAAAGTGACCCATTACTAACTTGGCGAATGGTTTGGTAGTTCGAGAGTACTGCGGACGTTTGAGACGTTTTACCATGAAAATTGTATTACAAGTCAAGTATTTTTTATGGTCATTTCTGGTCGGATTTGCCTTATTCTCTGGAGATGACAGGTGGAATCATTGGTGTGAACCTTAGGATTGTGAACCTGAACGCTTGTTCAAGGACGCAGAATGTGACGATGATGATATCTGTTTCGTGATATAGACGCGATGGTGTGTGTATAAGTGATAAGCTATTCGAACTACTGAATGATTAAATGTCGGTTGACTGTAAATACTATAATAAGCGTGCAATCTTTTGCATCCTTAACAAAGAACTGACAGTGTGCAGTCCCCATCGTTACAGCACGGGCTTTAGGTCCGAGAATCGGGACTCTGGGAAATGAAGATCCCTAAGTAAATTCGCATCTTAAGCCTTGTCGCAACGACACATGTGACTTTTGGGAAAGGCAGTGTGACGATTGTCCCCGGGGACATTGGAATCTTGCAGTACTGGCATCAATGGCTGACTTACGCATTTGTGTCTGAAGCTCAGTTTTCTAACTTGTCTGTCTCTTCGGTTCACACACCAACGCAGCGCGGTCATCGCGGTAAAGGAGTCTACTGAAATCCCAACGGTTGTCCTTTTCTGTGCTTTTAAAGTGTTTGAATTTGAGGAGAGTCACGAAAAGGAGATGGAGCTGGAGAAGAAGGAGGGATATAGAGGTAGTCTTCCTTACTGCTGACGTTTGTGTGTATGTTTGCCAGGTTAAGGGCTGGGCAATGCTCCACGCCGATCGAATAATTCTAGCGGACCGTAAACTTTCATTGCCATTGCAATTTTCTGTGGAGAGGGACGAGGACGAGACGGAGACCTAGCAGAAGAGGAAGATAATGTTGATGATGAAAATGGGAAGAATAAGACGAAGAAGAAGAAGAAGAAGATGAAGAAGAAGAAGAGGCAGAAGATGGAGGAGGAAGACGACGAAGAAGAAGAAGAAGAAGAAGAAGAAGAAGAAGAAAAGGAAGAAGAAGAAGACGAAGAAGAAGGAGAGGAAGAAGAATGGGGAGTAGGGGGAGAAGGAGGAGGATTAGGAGGAGGAGGAGGAGGAGGAGGAGGAGGAGGAGGAGGA